TTTGGGCGAACTCTACTTTGTGACTTTTAAGGTCTAATTGAAATGAGATAAAAACTCAGGGTCCCTGGACAAAAGAACAAAAAGAGCTGCTGTGGCCTAGCTACTGTGGCTCTGTGGACTGAGTGTTGTCCCATGGACTGAGAGGTCCCACTTTGATTCCCGGTCAAGGCACATGCCGGGGTTGCAGGCTCGATCCCCAGTAGGGGGCGTGCAGAAGGCAGCCGATGGATGTGTTTCTCTCTCACATCAATGTTTCTATCTCTCTCTCCCTTCCCCTCTCTCTAAAAAAAATAAAAACATTTTATTTTGTTTTGTTTTTTTATCCTCACCCGAGGACATTTTTCCATTTTTTGTTCAGGTAGAGTGGGAGGGAGAGAGAGGAACATCGATGTGAAAGGAACACATCGAGTGGCTGCCACCCGCACAACCGACCAGGGCCGGGGACAAACTGCAGCCGAGGCACGCGCCCTTAGCGGGAACCGAACCCGGGTCTCTCAGGACCGCAGGCCGACGCTCCAACCGCTGAGCCAAACTGGCCAGGGCGAAAAAAACATTTTAAAAAGAAAAAGAAAAAGAGCTGCTGTGGGCATTTTCAGAAAGGGCTATGCTACTTGGCCCCGCCCCCCAAAGGGGTTTTGTTTCTTTTAATTTTTTTTTATCCTCACCCGAGGACATTTTTCCATTTTTGTTCAGATAGAGTGGGAGGGAGGGAGAGAGAGAGAGAGAAACATTGACGTGAAAGGGACACATCGAGTGGCTGCCACCCGCACAACCCCAACCAGGGCCGGGGACAAACTGCAACCGAGGTACATGCCCTTAGCGGGAACCGGACCCGGGTCTCTCTGGACCGAGGGCCGACGCTCTAACCACTGAGAAAACCAGCCAGGGCAGATGTTTCTTGAGAAGAAATACAGCACAGAGTCATTTCCGCCCACCACCTCAGTCACCGTAGGGCTCTATGGAAACAGGTCAGGAGCCACCCGTGGCCCGAAGGGGAAGGAAGGAGGGCACGGTTGACCTGGCAGAGGTGCTTACATCACTGTGCCTTAGGCTAGGACAGGGCAGGCTGGCAGCCACCACACCCTGAGGACAGCGGAGGATGGAGAGCCCTGAGGAGCACCAGTCTGTGTACCAACTAGGGGGACCAGCAGTCGGCAAAGGGTTGTTTTTGTTTTGTTTAGTCTTTTGTTTTTAATCCATACCTCAGGATATTTTTGCACTTATCTTCAAATAGATTGGGAGGGAGGGAGGGGGAGAGAGAGAGAAACATTAATGTATCACATTGATTGGCTGCCTCCCGCAGGACCCCGACCAGGGCCAGGGACTGAACCACAGCCGAGGTACATGGCCATGACCGGAATCAAACCCATGACTCTTTGGTCTGTGGGCCGATGCTCTAACTGCTGAGTCAAACCGGCCAGGACAACAAAGGATTTTTGTTTTGTTTATTTTATCCTCACCCGAGGACATTTTTGCATTTATCTTCAGAGCAGGAGGGAGGAAGAGAGAGAGAAACATCGATGTAAGAAAGACACATCGAGTGGTTGCCACCCACATGACCCCAAAGGGGCCGGGGACAAACTGCAACCAAGATACGTGCCCTTAGTGGAAACTGAACCCAGGTCTCTCCAGACCGCAGGCCAACGCTCTAACCGCTGAGCCAAATTGGCCAGGGCTCAAAGGGTTTTTTAATAGGTCCAGAGAGATTGCCAAACTGCCTGGAGTATTCTGTCACTCACTCTGAAGCCACTAGCACCAGGACCAGGCACACCACAGGGACCCAGCATTTCTATCCATCAGCCACCTTCAGACATTCAAGTCCTCCTTTGTACCCTTGGGCTGCTGAGACCCCAGCTCACCAGCCCTCAGCCACACCAAGCTGGGCCATTGAAGGTCACTGTTTCCATTAGCCTGTCGCACCTGTATGCCCTGGCTCAGCACCAGCATTCCTGAATCCATGCCCAACCAGAGGATCTACTCAGTATTTTTTTTTTTAACCTCTAAATACTTTGGTGTGTATTCCTTAAAATCAAGGACAGTCTCACTCACAGATGCAGAGAACAAACTGATGTTGCCAGATGGCGGGGGGAGGGGCTGGGTGGAAGGGGGGAGGGGGTTGAGAGGTATAGATGGGCAGTTACAGTCACGGGGATGTAGGCACAGGGAGTATAGTCAGTAATACTGAAATAACTGTTGTTCGGTCACAAACTCAGGCTGCCCACTGCCAGGGCCCCTGTGACTGGATGCACATCGGTGCAGAGCAGTGACCCTTCTCACAGTTTCTCTAACACTGTGAAACTGACCGGCCAGGGGAGGCCGTGAGACATCAGCAAGGGCCCGACTGACTTGTACTGTCTGCGGGAGAAAACACCGTGAAACTGGGAGCCAGAGGCCCCCAAACATCCTCAAGCTCTCTCATGGACATCCTTGTTCAAAAGAAAAATGTAATGTTTGAGGTACACTGGCTTCCCCAGGTTTATGTATTATTACTTATTCTGTCACTTATTAATTCATTTAACAAAGAATTTTTTAAGCTGGAGATACGTGGGGTGGAGTGGGGGCCTGGCGAGAAGTGACTTCTCTTACTTATTTTCCTGGAGACCGGCGTGAGCACCCAGCCCCAGGGGGAGGGCACAGGCCTGGAAGGGGCAGAGGCAGGCAGGGAACGGCAGCCGTGGGACCACGGGCAGGGTGTGAACATGAGGTTGAGGAAGGAGGTGGCCGTGAGGTGAAAGAGGTGAGCCTGAGGGACACAGTGGAGTTGTGCTGACATGTTCATAACCCCATAATTGATGATTGGTAAATTATTGTGCTGACTTTATATCTCCATAGTTGGTGATTGGGAAAGTCACTGTGTGCTGTCTGACAGTCCACGGAGCCTGGAGGTCTTAAGGCAGAGACTCGACCTCCCCTCCCCCACAATCTCAAAGAATTCGGCTTGCGTTGTGTTTGTGCAGCTGGGAGTTAAGTGTGACCCAATGTACCTTGAAATACCTGGGTGTGCCTGGGTGTTCCTGTTATCCTCAAGGCGAACTAATTCTATACAGCATTGTTGTACCTTGAAATACCTGGGTGTGCCTGGGTGTTCCTGTTATCCACAAGGCAAACTAATTCTATACAGCATTGTTGTAGCCCTGGACATTATATCAAGAAGATCCTATTTTCTTATATCATTAAACTTTTGCTGTAAGGTGTAAAAGGCATGTAATAGAGCATATCAGGGCTGATCTCCGAAGACTCTGTCACAGGGGTGTTCGGAATCAGACGCCAGCCGGCTAATAAATGGCTCTTATTTGGACTTTAATTCTCTAGTGGTCTTTCTTTGACTCTGTCACGCCACACCTCTACCTCTGAGCCACACCAGCCAGGGCCGCTCTCACTTCTTAAGTGCATACTATCACTTTAATACATTCACTGTGCTTTGCAAAAAATAAGTGCTGGAGATCCCCACCCAGAGGTCAGGCTGGAGCCTGTGGCTAGGTATAAATGTGGCATGATCCCTGAAGATGTGGCAGTGGGTCACCAAGGAAGCTGAAGAAAGAGCCTTTCACAGGAGTTAAATCCCCTTTGCGTCTCTCACCCCAGGATCTGTGACACCCTTCATGACTCCTCAAGGAATACAAAATATTTCTGGAACTGCTGGACACCACTGTGCATGAAGCCTCTCATAGAAATGGTCTCGTCACCCCCAGTTCCAAGCTTCCCCAGAACATCCACTGAGAGTAACGTCCAAACTCATTAGCCTCACACTCAGCCCCTCCCCCACATTTCCAGCCACCAACAACTTTCCCTGCATCCGGCTCTCCCTGGCACATCCCCCAGCCCCGGCCCCAGAATCTGGCTCTCCTGTTACACACACACCCACACCCCAGGGAGAATTCACTGTACATATCTCTCTCTACAGCCCTCAGCCTGCTGGACTCTGGTTCACCAGTTAGGGGCTCTGCTGGACTGTGACCCCAGAGGGACCACAGGGATTCACCCCCAAGCCTCCCAACTAGCAAACTGGTGGTGAATGAACAGGAAGCATTTTTCCTTATTTGTCCTAGACTTGCCACTTTCCGAGACTCAAAGGATGCACTTCAGTGTTTTTCTTACAGGATTTAGTACCCCAAACATTCCATTCATGACTTGAGGTTCTTAATCTTTTTCAGGCTCAACGTCATTGTCTGTAATCCTTCCTCATCTGGGGGCTGGAATCCTCCATGTCTCCAGTGTACACGTTCATTCGTTCAGCCATGCAACACATATTAAGGTTGGTTCTTGCCAGGCACTGCTGAGGACCCAGGACCCGAGAGGGCGGGCTGGTGGACGCAGCCCGGGTGGACATTAAACCATTAAACGAAAGTCAGCCCATCTTTAGCCTTAAGGTGCAGGCCCATGAGGACCCACGAGGTGCCCAGATCGCTGCGGCTGCTCCCCCCGCCGCAGCTCCTGGTCCCGCGCGGGGATAAGGGGACGGCAATGGGCACAGCCCAGGGGTCGGGGTCCCACAGCCCACGTGTCAAGCAGAACCTTCTCCACTCCTGCGACACCGCCTGGATGGAGCCCGAAAGTTTGGAGGTCGTTTGGCCACCGACCCCAGACCCCTAGCCGCTGGGCTCACAGGCTCCGCAGGACGAGCGCGGGGAGTTCCTGATTTGGCGGGGTCTCCGGAAACGCCGCGCCCCTCCCCGGGAGCAGCTGGGCCGGCCGGTGCCCCGGCCTCTGCCGGGTCTGTGGGCCGGCAGGGGGCGGGGCCTGGGCAGAGAGGTGGGCGGGGCCGGGACGGCGGACCGAGGACCCGCGCTTCTGTGGGGGCGGGGGCGGGGCCTGGGCAGGGAGGTGGGCGGGGCCGGGACGGCGGACCGAGGACCCGCGCTTCTGTGGGGGCGGGGGCGGGGCCTGGGCAGGGAGGTGGGCGGGGCCGGGACGGTGGACCGAGGACCCGCGCTTCTGTGGGGGCGGGGGCGGGGGCGGGGCCTGGGCAGGGAGGTGGGCGGGGCCGGGAGGGACTCCGGAGTCCTTTTACTTGGGCGCGACATTAAGGCGTAAAGCGACAGCCATCTCCGACCAAGGGACGCGAACTATGGGTGAAGACACCCCGTCCAGAGACCCTTAGACCGGAATGGGGTGGGGGGCACGCGAGCGCTTCTACCCGCCCCCCCACTTACTTGGGACCTCGGAGGGCAGGAGAGGTCGCGGGAGGGTTCGCCCACCACGCCGCCCCCTGGGGGTCGCGTCTCCCTCGGCGGCGCCCGTCCCGCGGGGTTGGTGGGTGGGTGGGTGGACACGGCCGCTCGAATCCTCTCAGGGTTCTGGGAGCCCGCGTTAGAAAGTAAGAGCCCCGGGTGTGAAGAGGTCTGCAGGGCTCCAGCCCCGTGGAGACGGCCCGCAGGGTAGCAAGGTCAGCTCTGGGCGGCGGAGAAGGCAGCCCTGACCGGAGTGGGGACAGCGGGGCCGGGTGGGCAAGGCTGGGGCCCTGGAGTCGAGCCGCTTGCGCTAAATCCCGGCTCACGCTCGCCCTCCCCGTGTGACCTTGGGCATGGACTGCACCTAGGCCTCAGTTTCCCGCCCTGCAGCGGAGGGCAAGAGTGATCCAACTTCCTGCAAAGATGTGGGAGATGGGCCCATCCCATCTTACCCTCAGTACAGACTCAGAAAACGTTGGCTGTTATTCTTACTGTTTACTCCAGTTTTACAGAAAAGGAAACCCAGGCTGGGTTTTAGTAACTGCCCAAGGTCGCACAGCCAGCAAGTGCAGAGCCGAAACCTAGCCACCCCCCTTCCCCAGAAAGTTCTGTGGTGAAGCCCTCCCAAGATCTTCCTCACCCAGTGGACCCGGTTTATCTTTCTCTCGTGTGGGGACCCCCACATCCAGGCCTGCTCTCCTGGAGGCAGCACAGGAGCGGCCGAGTAGGCTGATGCCCCAACACCTGCCGCACAGGTGAAGGGCTCAGAGTGCCAGCTTCACGCTTCACGAGTGAACCAATTGTTCTTTCAGGTCTGTTCTCCGAGCTGAAGATGGCTGTGCCCTGGGGCCACATCGCTGCCAAAGCCTGGGGTTCCCAGCGGGGCTCCCCAGTTCTCTGCCTGCACGGCTGGCTGGACAATGCCAACTCCTTCGACAGACTCATCCCTCTTCTCCCGAAACGTGGGGAAAGCGGGGGGCAGGCCTGCAGGGGGTGAGGAGGGACAGACAGCTGACTTAGGCACCTTCCCTTACCCTCTTATCTCTGTTTCAGACTTTTATTACGTTGCCATGGATTTCGGGGGTCATGGGCTCTCATCCCATTACAGCCCGGGTCTGCCGTATTACCACCAAAACTTTGTGGGTGAGATCCGCAGAGTCGCAGCAGGTGAATAAGAGGCCAAGTGTGTGGGGGGCTGGAGGGAGGCAGCCCCTCGCGGCGGAGGGGTGTGGTAGTGAGGGAACTGCGCTGGCCTGAGAGTGACCTGCACCTGGTCCCAGTTCTGCCAGAATCCATGGGTGACTTTGGGAAAGCCAGAGGGGGCTGGCAAGACGAGCTCACTCCCCTGTGGGTTCCACCCCTGAGGTGGAGCTGGGGCCCTTTAATCCGGTCTCCTGAGTGGGGATCCCCATAGGGTGGGGAGGGCCAGCCCACGCAGACCTGACTCTGTGTGCTTTCAGCCTTGAAATGGGACCGTTTTGCCATCTTGGGCCACAGTTTTGGTGAGTACACTTTGGCCAGGACCTGACTGGGCTCCTGGGGGGGTAGAGGAGGGGGGACTGGGAGGGAGGGAGGGTGAGGAGTTGGCACACAGGTCTCTTTCCCCTGCACTTCTGGGAACTTCAGGGGAGATGCAGGTATTCGGTCCACGTTGACCTTTGGACACTGTGGCCCTTGGGCTCAGGCAACTCCCCTAAGGCACATATGGCCCAGTAGGCAGTTGCCTCCCAATCTGATGAGGTAAATGTGGCCTCCTGATTGGTCAGGTCTGATGAAGGGGCCATCTGCCCTCAAGGAGGGAGCCCCAAGTTTGACAGCAAATACAGAGCCCCATCGCTGGCGGGAGGGAGGAGCCCCTGGCCCGGGTGAGGTCAGCCCTGGGAGGACCGGAGGGCTGGAGCACCGGCCCACTGCTCTTTTGTCTCCTAGGTGGCATTGTGGGTGGAATGGTGAGTAGATGGCTTTGCAGTGACCACCTCTGGCCACCACGGGTGTTCCTCCGAGTGGGGTGGGGAGAACAGGAGGAAGAGAAGGTCCCTGGGACAGGAACTCCGTGTCCTTTGCTAGTGCCAGCTCGCTTTGTCCGTGACAGCAGTCATCACTCTGGCAAACGGAAACCCCGAATCCAGCCACCACCAGACTGCGGGGGAGCGGGGCGCCCCGAAGGGATGGAGCATTCTTGTTCTGGCCTCTTGGTCCACCCCTGCCCCAGCCTGACAGATGTTTCAGGAAACACCAGAGAAAAGTTTGAGTCCTTTTTTCTTCAAGTCCTTCTCCTTCCTTCTTCTCTTTTTGTGTCGTGTCATAGTTTGCCTGTATCTTCCCGGAGATGGTGGATAAACTTGTCTTGCTGGACTCAGTCCCTTTTGTCCTGGACTCTAATGTAAGAACCGGGGCTGTCACCGGAGGGAGGGCCCTCGGCACTGTCTCCCTCGGTGAATACCGCGGAGGTGGGAGGGGGTGGCAGAGGGTAGACGAGGGGAATCAGCCCCTCACACCCACACAGAACACCCCTTGCAGTGGGCAGGGAAAGGGGTACAGGGGCCTTTGTTATCCTTGGAAACCCTGTGTGTGGCCTGGGATCTTCACAATGCCAGGTGAGTCACGAAGCGACAAGGAGTGGGACAGGGTAGGAGCAGTAGGTCGAGGACGCGCTGGGGACACACAGGTTGGCCAGCCCACTTGCGCTCACTCAGCCAGATGACTGTGTGCTGTGTACACACTGCACAGCTGCCCACGCAGCCGGGGGCGCGGACTGATGGCAAAAGCGCCGACTCTGCCCCACCGCCAGCAGTGCAGTGAGCAGGGCTGTCCCGCGTCAGAGTCCTGGCTCAGCCGTGTGGCCCTGCGCAAGTCACGTCACCTCGCTGGGCCTCAGTTTTCTCACCTATAAAAAATGAGGACAGCCCTGGCCAGTTTGGCTCAGCAGTTAGTGCGGCGGCCTGCGGACCCAGGAGCCCTGGGCTCGATTCCGTCAGGGACACAGAGGTTCATCCCGGCCCTGGTTGGGTGGGGCATGAGTCGACCAGGTGATGTGTCTCTATCACGTCAATGTTTCTCTCTGTCCCTCTCCCTCCCACTCTAATGATAAATAAAAAAAATATGCTCTGGTGAGGAATTTTTTAAAAAATGAGGAGGTTGGGCCCTGGCCAGTGTGACTCGGTTAGTTGGCGTATCAGCCTGTACACCGAAAGGTGGCAGGGTTTGATTCATGGTCAGGACACGGGCACGGGGTGGATATGAGGAAGCTGGACTCATGACCCGGGAGGTGCCCTGCCAGCTCCCACCTTCTGTCTGTCATCCTGTCAGCCTGTGTCCGAGGGCTCAACACAGCTCCTCAATCAGTTTCAGTTTTCGTGTCTGTGAAATGCCACAAACTCCATAAGGGCAAGAACCAGGGCTGTCTTTTGTATCACCACGTGCCCATCTTGGCACATAGTAAGTGCTCAGGGAATGTTTGGTGTGTGGACAGATAATCCGAGGGTTATTGTGAGGGTGCCTCTCATCTGTGTCACCCGCTGCACTGACAAACACCGTGCCCCGGGGCTGGCCGTCCTCCTGCGGGTGTCTGGTGAGTGTTTGGTCCTCCCAGTTCACTGTATTCTCAGCGGGGACAGGGAGTCACCTGCCAGTGCTGCTCCAGGCAGTGGAACTTGGACAGGGCCAGACCGTCCCAGAGTGAGCTGGGCTGGAAGGGGACACACTCGGGGCCAGCTGGAAACCCCCGACTGCACCCCCTCTGCCAGTCTCTGCTCCACCATTCGGAGCGATAGCATTAGTTCAGCCGGATGAATTGCCAGCCCCGGGTGGTTCCTGACTTACCGGCCTTGGCAAGCACTCAGCAGGTGACGGGGATGTTTCCCCTCCACCATCCCTGACCCCTCCAGCTGTTCCCCACCACAGTAGGGCTGGGCCAGCTGTGACTGACAGACAACTTGGTCTGGGTCCCAGGGCTAACTAACTAGCAGGGTTGATCCTGTGCCACCCCTCACTGGGTCAGAAGGAAGCACCAGGGGCTGCGAGGGAGGGGCCCGGCCCACCCAGCAGTACTGTGACTGTTTAGGAGAGGGAGAACCTGCTGACCTACAGGCGGAAACTGATCGAGCACACGCTGCAGGTGGAGCAAGACTCCAAGCAGCCCTCGCGCGGGCTCAGCCGGGAGGAGATGCTACAGAGGTGGGTGCCATCGGAGGACCGGGGGTGAGGGCACCACGGAGCAAATCTCTGGGGCATGGAGGAAGGAAGCTTCGGCGGCAAAGCCTGTTTCTCTCTGGGCATCAGGCTTCCTGGCATTATTGCAACTTTATCTACCTCATGCTCCCCACTGTGGAGTGATGCCCTTCACCCGTGTCCACACACGCTCCAGCCCCCTTCCTCTCCCCTTGTGCGCATGCGGCACCCTGCTCACTTTGCCCCTGTTCCTTGGGAACCTGCCTTGATGCCACTTCCCAGTAGGTGACTCCAGGTCAGTGGGTGGTGACCACGGTTGGTTGGTCACAGCTGTACCTCCGGCACCTGTCAGTCCTAGTAGTCAGGGCTTTATAAATGTTTGGTGTCTAAAGGAGTGAAAACGACCCCTGCCCCCCACGACTGTGAGCATCCCCCTGCAACACGCCTGTGTCTGTGGGTGGCCTCCCTTCCCCTGCCTCCTTTCCTTCCCGTCTGGCCCCTCTGGACCCAAGGCAGTGAGCATCCTTCTGTCTCCCCCAGGTTCCTGAAGAACAACAGCCACGTGGGTGAGGAGTGTGGGGAGCTCCTCCTGCAGAGAGGAGCCACGCAGGTGGCCACAGGTGAGGGCTCAGCGCTTGTCGGCTCTGTTCTTGGCGAGGGGTGGCAACGACTAAGCTCGCCTCGGCCGGGCATGGTGCTAAGTGCTCTGCAAACTGTCTCCTGTGTCCTCCCGCTGCCCTCTACTCAGCTCATCTGGAGCAGGAGGGACAGCTCAGGAAGGCCAAGTGACTTGTGCCAGGTCAGACAGTACCGCACATCCCGGAACCCACGTCCTGTGGGCAGCTTGGGCAGGCGTCTTGGGAGTGAATGTTAGGGAATGTCACAGCCATGCTGTGCTGGTCCTGGGTGGTGGGTGCCCAGTGTCTGAGGCTAAGCTTTGCGGGTGTCCTAAAGGGCTGAGTGACTTTAAAGAGGTTTTTCAAGCCCTGGCTAGTGTGGCTCAGTTGGTGGGTTGCGTCCCACACCCCAAAAGGTTACTGATTTGATTCCTGGTCAAGGCAAATGCCCGGGTTGCTGGTTCTATCCCCCTGTAGGGGGTGTACAGGAGGCTGCTGATCGATGTTCTGGTCTCACATCAATGTTTCTCTCTGTCCCTCTTCCTTCCTCTCTCTCTCTCCCCCACATATATATGGGGTTTTCCAAAATGGAGACGTGCAGTTGATCCTACTCTGGCTTCAGGACAGCATCAGGCCCATGTTTTCTGTGTTTCGCTTCCCAACATATTTGTTCAGGAAACCTTTACCCAGAGTGTGCTCTGTGCCTGGCTCCGAGTGAGGCTGACTGTGACTTCAGTCTCTAAAGTACCAAGGAGGCAGGGGTCAAAACCCAAGCCCGTGGGAGCTGGGCGAGTGCCCAGGAGTTGTGGGGACCATGGAACTGGCCCTGCCAGTCGCCATCGTGATGGGTACTCAGCTGGTCACGAGAAGCAGAGGTCTGCTCTCTGGCCTACTTTTCAGAAACTGGCAACACGGTGAGCTCCAATGGACTGGGCAGTGCCTGTGACTGTTCAGCCTCGGCCGCAGTTTGTGACCTGCTGTGGGGGTGGGATGGCCTTAGTCATCACCTCTGAGCCTCTGTCTGCCCCTCCCTGAAAATCCATCATGGAAAGAGGGGGTTGAGGGCAGAGGGCTGTAGACCCGGGCTTCCCGAGGTACCCATGCAGATGGGTGGACCGGGGGCCCCAGGAGCAGATGTGGGATAATCTGGATGGAATATGACAGCCTCCTGCCAGGCACGGAAGCCGATTAGGCCAGGCCAGGGTCACATGAAATGGTGAGCACAGACACCGGACCGTTGTCTAGGGGTGTGGGAGAGGAGGGAGGGAGGCCAGGCAGGTGGTGCGGAGGAGGGGGGGCTGTTGGCCGGATCAGTGTGTCGGGACTAGCCACACTGCAGCCGGCGTGGCCCTTTGCGACCGGGTTAACCTAAAAGACTACCCAGCAGGCTCTCAAACACCATGAGGTGTGGGGGTAGTGACTTTGGGGGGCAGGTGTTCCAGGCTCCCCCCAAGTTCTTTTCCTGAGACCCGAGTCCCTGATAGCCTCCACCCATTAGGGAGCAGGCAGGGGACTGCAACACCTCCATCACCGACCAGATCCCTCTGACCTCTGCCGCTACCAAGTCCCACAGACTGGGCAGCTTAAACAATGTATGGATTCCCTCACAGTTCTGGGGGCCAGAACCCCGGGTCAGTGTTGGCAGGGCTGTGACTGACTACCGATGCCTCTTTCCTAGCTTCTGGTGGCCTCAGGCAGGTCTCCCCATCAGCACAGGGGTGAGTGACAGCCAGTGGGGTGTCAGAAACAGGGAGGGGCTCAGCATGTGGGACAGACCTTGCAGTGTGATCTTCAGAAGAATGAATGGGCTGGGTTGGCCTCACGGAGGTGACTTTTGAGCAAAGCCAAGTGGTGTCCCGCAGAAATCCGGGGGCGGAGGTGATCGGGGGGAGGGAGCTGCCAGCAAAGGCTCAGAGGCCTGCCCTTGGCCTCTGGGAGAGCAGGAGGCAGTGAGCCCGGGTCAGAGAGGCAGGGCCCTGCCTACTTCCTCATCTGCGTCCTGTCTCAACACTGGCCTCAGCCTTCTGGAAACCAGCCGAGGTGTTGGCCTGAAGGAGGGAGAACCCAGCTCTGGTTGGGGTTCCCCAGTGACTGACAAAGGACATTCCTGTGCTGGTGTCCAGGCCCTGCAGCCTGCCCACCGTGGGGGGTGCTCAGGAGCTGGGTGACCCTGGTGTGCAAGCGGGATTGGCTTGGCTTGTCTAGTTTACACACAAATACTCGGCATGGAGGGAATTTGAATAGGTTGTTCATATTTAAAATAGAAAGATTTTGTGTAAAAGTGGAGATCTCCAGGTTCTCTTGAAAAATGGGAAATGCAACACATTCTTCGTTTCCCACAAGCAGGAGCAGCTGGCAGATGCCCTGCCATGTGCGGGCACTGCTGGCACTGCAGCCTGTGACCGCGGCAGGCCCAGCTGGGCGGGGTGGGCTGGAAGGCTTTTCTGAGCTCTGTTCTCTTCCCTTTGAACCTCTGGCCTCCTCTGTGGTCAGTCTCTGTGCTGAGGCCACCGGCTGGATTTGTGAACACTCTTCAGACCACCAGGGGGCAGCAGCCCAGACCTGTCTACTCCCAGCCAACCATGTGTCCCTCTTGTCCCCAGCTCAGGGGCTGCAGCAAGGACCCTCAGGGTCAGGGCCCTCTGCTTGCAGATGAGGAAACTGCCCGAGGGAGGAGGGCCCAGGGCCTTCCTTCCCATTTCAATGCCCATCCTGGGGCCGATGACCCTGGCCCCGGCAGGCTGTGTGTTCATGCTGGGGATAAGTGGGTGGGCAGTAGGCCTGGGGGTCCGGGGACAGATGTTAACCAAGTCACCACATTGATGGTTACCTAACCTGGGCCAGGGACCCAGCTGGGGGGTGGGTGCCCAATCTGTGGGAGCCCCGCCCAGGAGCCCAAGGATAGTGAAGGCATGCCCAGCAGGGTGAGGGAGAGGTGATGGCGTGGGTGACATTCCAGACCCAGGGAACAGTGCTTTTAGAAGTCCTGCCCCTGGCAGGAGGGGGTGCGTGCAGCTGACGGAAAAAGGAAAGCCAGGAGCGTTGAGCGGGGGTCCCCCTACCGCCATGGAGGGAGGGGGTTAGAGGCTGGCCTGGAGCTACTGTTGCTGGATGGTTGATTTGGGTGTTTATTCCAAAAGCAAAGGGAAGGTCTTGGAGGGTTTTCACTGGAAGGGAGGGTGGTGCGGGGGACCTGATCAAATACAGTAAACCTCCATATAATGGCTAATTCGGGCCAGGGGGGTCAGTTAAAGCTGAAGGCTCGTTATATAATAAAGCAGGTTTTCCGAATGCATATGTTAAAAAATTGACAAATTAGCCCGGCCAGTGTGGCGCAGTGGTTGAGCATCAACCCATGCACCAAGGGATCACCAGTTCGACTCCTGGTCAGGGCACATAACCGGGTTGTGGGCCCGATACCCATTGGGAGGCATGCAGGAGGCGCCAATCGATGTTCTCTCTCATCGATATTTCTTCCTCTCTCCTTTCCTCTCTCTAAAATCGATAAAGAAAAAAAAATTGACAAATTAGTTTACCTGTTTCTCCTTATGTAGACACGTTTGTGTGATTAAAATTAAGTATGTATGACAAGTTGAATTTCACAGGGAAGTTTTCTATATGTATTATAGTAATTTTAAGTTTATACCGAAGAGCTCTAGTTAACACACACGTTCACCAGCCACCAAGAGTGAACAAATGCACACGCTGAGCGTCGCTTAGTGCAAGTCAGAATATCTGGCTGGCACACATTAAAACTGCGCAGAAGGTCACGCCAGGTGACATCGGAACCAACTGCCACACTCAGTGTGGCGTGATCATGTGCTAATCATTTGCGGAACATAGTTACTAGTGGTGACTCTCGGATTTAAATACGTAGACTATAGTTGTAGATATGTAATATTTAGTTATGTTGGTGAAATTACTAGTGTTTTTTCCAACATATGGCCTATTTGCTAAGATTTGTTAAAAATAACAGTGAGACCCTGGCTGGTTTGGCTCAGCGGTTAGAGCGTCGGCCTGCGGTCCAGAGAGACCCAAGTTCAGTTTCCGCTAAGGGCATGTGCCTCGGTTGCAGTTTGTCCCCAGCCCTGGTTGGGTCGTGCAGGTGGCAGCCACTCAATGTGTCCCTTTCACGTCAATGTTCCTCTCTCTCTCTTCCTCTCTCTCCCTCCCGCTCTGTCTGAACAAAAAATGGAAAAATGTCCTCAGGTGAGGATACAAAAATAAATAAATAACAGTGAAATGCCCTGGCTGGTTTGGCTCAGCAGTTAGAGTGTCAGCCCTCAAGCTGAAGGGTCTCAGGTTTGATTCCCAGTCAAGGGCATGTACCTGGGTTGCAGATTTAATCCCTGGTCCAGGTCAGGAGATGTGGGAGGCAACCAATCAAAGTGTCTCTCTGACATCAATGTTTCTCTCTCTTTCTCTCTCTCCCTCTCACCCTCCCCCCCTTTCACTTTCTCTAAAAAAAAAAAAAAAAAATCCAATGGAAAAAATATCCTCAGGTGAGGATTAACAAAAAAAATTAATATTAAAAAAAGAATTTAAAAAATAATAAAATTACAGGGTGTTGCCCTGGCCAGTTGGCTTAGTTGGTTGGAGCGTTGTCCTGTACACCAAAAGGTTATGGATTCAATTCCCAGTCAGGGCACATGCCTAGGTTTCAGGTTCGATCCCTGGTCAGGGTGCATTCAGGAGGCGACGGATCGATGTTTCTCTGTCTCTCTCCCTCTTCCTTCCTCTCTCTCTAAAAAGCAATAAAAACATATCCTTGGGTAAGAATTTAAAAAATATGTTAACAGGGTGTTCATTTTCACATATGACATATGGACCGGATATTTTGTCCATTAAATCCTAAGTCCATTAAATCAAGGTCCACAAAATCGAGAGTTCACTGTATGCATTTCCAGACTACACTGGCTCAGCATGGGCCCGACTAGAATGTCTCCACTCCAGATGAATCAAAAGCCCGGGTTGACCATCTGCCTATAAATTGGGATTCCCAC